AAACTATCCAATACAGTCAGTCCCACAAAAGATCAGTCTCGAGCCCGAATATCTCAGTGGTAACGTCCCTGGCTGCTGGTAGCACTGGGTGACGCGGATTCGAATTTAAGAATTCAAGATTGCAGATACGCCTTGCTGACTGGTGAATGTCGACTAGCACGAAACCTAGGTGCAAGGCTTCCTGCGGCCAATCGCCTCCAACAATCTAACAGTGATCAGTATTACGTATCCTAGAGAGTTGATAACTAACTAAGTAAGTTTGGAAATTGATAAGAAGCATGTGAACAAAGAATTGAAAAGAAAAGATTACAGCAGAAGTGATGAGAGTTGCTTGTGTGCTTGTTTTTCTGCCTATCGGCACAATTCTTTGTCTTCTTGTCCCGCATCAATTATTTACCAGTAAATAACTAATTGAGCACCAACTGCCTCGATTACTTAACAACATCATCCACTGTGTTTTCCACATTATCATTTCTCATATACTTTGAAGTCGTGACCAGTAGGGTGCAGCAGGTTCGGGTGTGAGGACAAGTACTCGTTGAAGACATTGGCTAGGAGTCGCGCTATGTCGTGAATTGGCAGAAGTTAGAATTCATTGGCCATTTGATCGGGTCTCAGTATCTTATTAGTCTATGAGCTTGCCTTATAAAACCATAAGGTCCTGGGTTCGAACCCTGGTGGGTGCGTACTGATGAAGCGTCCCAAAATGGGACGAAACAGCTGCCCAGTACTCCCAGGTTTTCCAATGTTTCTCTAACTAATATCAGCTCACGACGAAATCCTATACTTTGATTTAGTTTATTATTCATTAACTGACAATAACTTAACATTCGATGCCTGTAAAAAAAGGAGGAATTATTCCTAATCATCTTCGTATACGTGTGTTCCGGTTAAATTAAATCAAGAAAGGTGAAAGCAGCAGGAGAATCCAGTTGTTAACACTGCATCATCACTTTGTGCGTGATATTTAAAATAAACTTATCTAGTATAGAATTACATTCTACCGCAGTGCCCGAATTCTACACATACATTAGCTGACAATAACCTCTGAGTTTTGTTGTCAGCGTACATTGTTCACGCATTACTAGACCTCACCCAGTAGAAAGAGACCCCCAAGGAGAAGAAAGGAGGTTAGGTGTGAGGTGCGTCACTGGTTCAGTGACAGAACATCACCCAACCAAGCGAGTAGTCCGGTGTTCGACATCCGGCCGACGCACTCCTGGACTTCGCTTTGCTGATAGTGAGTCAGGTCATGAGGAAAGGTTGGATGTGAGGTTAGTAACTCTATTCTGTAAAAAATCAGCACTGCCAATGAAGCTTCAAAGCTTGAGTTTAGGCCTTGTGTTCCACTTGGATTACAAAGGAATAGATACTGATTAATTAGGCGTGTGGCTAGTAATCCCACTCTATGGAATCAATACCACTAGCTGAAATCCTATATCCAGCTATCCATGTAGGGAATAGAAAAAGATCCAAACTATAAGTAAAAGTTGAAATTCATTGAAACATTGCCCGTAGTCGAGGAAGGTGATGGCTAGGAATCCGTAACACATGTCCTAACCATCTCAGTCGACGTAGCTTCACAACCTCGTCGATTGATTTCCCCTCCCCTCCATACCTAGCACTCGAACGAGGACTAACTTCAATATTGCTCACCTTATTATACTACGTCACACGGGAGATAGGGCGCAGGCACCTATGATCAAAGACAGCTACCCAGCCTTTCCATGTCTTCCACTCTCAATGACCAGGTCTCACAGCCAGCCATAAAGGAGGACGGAACGGACTGATGAGCAGAACATACGCCCTTCAGTTGATAGCCAGCCGGATATCACGTCTACGCCAGAGACGGCGTAAACGGGAATATGCGAAACGGCCCTTCACTATTCGTTCTGAGATTTCGTCAGCGATCAACCCACCAGGACTGGCTGATGCAACTTTCCAAGTAAGTGAAGCGGTCAACCTGACGTTGAATGCTCCTATGTGAAGTTGGCGGTGTGGCTTTAAGAGGCTGTCGGGGGTGTTTCTATGGCTCTCACCGTTGTTTGTGGTCACAGAGTGAAGCGAAGATGACTCACTAGCCTGAAGAATAGTACTAACCGTAGTAGGGGAGTAAGATGATGGAAGTTATGTGGGTAAAGGAGAGTGACGGTCAGGAAGGCTTCGTGTGCTCTTGGAAATGTGTAGGCTGTTGTTACTTCCCAGCTGCCCATACCGTGGAAGTTGGTTGAATCTTCAGGTACCTGAAACAGAAAAAGTAAGTGCTGCGTAACCGCAGAGCCCCAAGGACAGCTACTTGAGGCCGGCCACACAAGGCCTGTATGAACTAGTTTCTCAGTTTGCTTCCGTACTAGTAAACTTACCGCCGGTTACAGACCACCATAGGGTAATTCGGGATGTACAATTGTTGGGGTTGACCTTTTCTAACCCCCTCTTTCCAGAGTGGAGAGACAGCATAGCTGGCATGCTCGTCACCTGAGGGAAACACCTCACTGCTTCACCTCCCCAGCAGTACGACTTCGCCGGTAGACCCCCAGCATAGTGTAAGAAAGATTCTTACACAATGCCGGTAACTGCTTTTAGTCTAATCGCTATCCTAAAAACCTTCCTGGCAAGGTAGGACCTATAGGAACAATACTTCCAGCCAGTGTAGCTTGTTGGGTCACTACGAAATGTAAGCTTGACCAACACGTCAAGGTAGCAGTTATCGGTCGGGCAGGATATCCCTACAGTTTGAAAACGTTCAAACTTAGATACATACATCTGAAGAGTAAAAACATTGTCAATTTATGTACATGAATAAAAAGTGCTTAAACGTTGGTCATTTATTCACTTAGTGAGAATTCCTAAAATCTATGATCACACCGACAGATATTATTTTATCTCGCATAATGGTAAATCGCAAAAGCCAATCACTATACCACAAGTGTTGATTTGTAAACACCAGTAAGCATGCCCAATTAGCATCTGATAGAATATTCACATCTACGTAATTATGGATCTTATCGATTGTGTTATTTTGAAAATTTCAGGGTAGGATTTATCAACCTAAGCATTCTGCCTCATGCACCGAACTCCAGGCTGAAACTTCAAGCCGTCTACTGGGCAATATAATAACCGCTTATAAATACAGTATGGCTTGTTGGAGGCAGTATGAACACTGAGCTGGTTTCTGGGCTCCAGTCTTAAGAATATAGAAGTGGCTAACAGTGAATTCTTACAAATATTCCCATTTGCGTCATTAATTGTTAAATCTTCCAAATCTATAGTTTCCTTTTACTTGAATCACACATCTGCCTGAGTTCTACATTCCGTATGAATTCTATGATTTTCAGTGATAACTGAGCACTAAGTGCTACTTTATGGTTGGTAATCCCAAAGACATTACACACTGTCAAACACACAGTTAGATGAGGGCTTTCCGTTTGCGAACAGGCCAGACATTATCAGTTATTTAACAAGGGATATATGCTGGTGTAGTCCTTCAGCGAATTAAATCCGGTTACCACTGTAAATTATGTAAGCGTAATAGATGTACATATGCCATTGATTTCTAGATATATCACCAGACAAACCAGGTATACTTCTAGATATGCAGATGACTTGTCTCAAAAGATGTGTTTAAAATAAAGCGGTTATTTCTCAATATCAAGATTTCGTACATCAGAAAAGACTTACCAAAAGCATATTCTTAAAATGTTGGACAATAAGAGAACAAGACAAACATGCGTAGAAAAGCCTTTAACTGACTGTGATTTGCGAATTTCCACAGGGTAATACACTTCAAGATTTAATAAAGTTTTGTTAGGTAACTGAATTCTCTGTCAGAACGAAATCTGTTAAACACGCTGAGCATAATTTTGAGTATGTTTGTTGTCCACGTTTTCACAGACTGCTGTTCTAGAATTAGCTTGCCTACTTACATCGGAATAGTCATCAGTCCCGATGAACTGATTGCCGACGAAATTTCATCGTCGAAATGGAGTGCTCTTCTGGTGTTTACCAAACGGGATGTTCAATGGACTTATGTACTATGCACTAGTCCACCCCACACTACTTTATTGCCGTTAGATATTGGAGATATGAATGATTTGGCAACTATTTGAATGTAAATACTTTCGTGTCATCTCCCGTTGATTTTAGGTGGAACCCTGTGATCAGTGATAATGAAGTTAGGAGGAAACTATTAGGTTATGAAAGCAGCTTAGCTTACGAGAATGTGAAGACGCATCAACTGTGATAGCTGGGACACGTGTGTTACGCGACCACCAGCTACCGCCTTCATTTGAATTTCCTTTGGGTTGGGAAGAGAGAGGTTAGGCATAGTTAAGCGAAAACATGCCAGTTATCTATGAAGTCTTCGATTTGATGATGCCATTAGATGGTTGGAGGCAATCGGCCGCAGGAAGCCTTGGACTTAGGTTTCGTGTGCTAGTTGGCACTGACTTGTCAGAAAGGCGTATCTGCAACCTTGGCAATGAGTGCCAACTAAAACGAAACATAGGTTCAAGGCTTCCTGTGGCCGATTGCCTTCAACAATCTAACATCAACAATTCAAAGTGGTCCGTGATGGCGAGCTACCTAGAATGGTTGTCACATAGCAAATTTGACTGATAAAATTCGGTCTGCAACGGATAAAAGACTAGACACATAGCTGTAACTACTAGTATCCAATCGAAGTCTTCGATTACTGGTTTTAACCATCTACGGAGTTGTAAACTGTTTGGCGCTGGTCCTCAAAATGCTTGCTTTATAAACTACTGACGACATGGCTTGAAACTTCTCTCTCTCTCTCTGATTACTTAAACTAGAATTGAGTGATTTTCAGTACGCCGCGAGTCCGTTACTTAGGCACTAAAATCACCAGTTTAACTAACCTATTGCAACCTTTTGAATTAATTATAAATTATTAACACTTACTCTCAAAACTTGCTTTTGATTCTCTATGAATCATATTCACTAAACACATTCACTTTTTACTTTTAATTCCCTTTTTTTAGTATTGCTATGGTTCTAATGTGGACATCAGGCGATATCTTCAAGACTATATTCTTCATATCAGAGAAAGCCCCATTACAATTTCCAATCTGTGGTCTCCTGCAAATTGGACTAGATTTAGCCATACTATTACAGTGTTTATATTATAAAGGTGAAAGATTTATGTGAGGATAACGATTAATGGCTGGAATCGATGTTGGCTACAGCCTACCAAATAGATTTATCGTTCGTTACACAAGACATACTGGGATTCAGTGTATAGCGGGGCTGGGATGGTGTTTGGGTGGCGAGGGATGTCTTCCTCTTTTCTTTTTCTTTTTGCACGCACAATTATGAACCAATCGATCAGTCAATCAAAAATCTCATTTTTTTTATACTTATGTGTGTTATGTCAACACTATATATGCATGAATTTACTGTTTTTTTCTTTTTGCCCCATGTGCAATTTATGCTTTTGCCAAACTTTCTAGTAATATATATATATATATTGTTTCGGGGGTGGGGGGTGGGTAGAAGTACAACTCTTATTTTCAAAAGTGATACTACACATCTTAGATTTTTACAAAAAGAGGACATTTCACTCCTCAAATTATATTTTCTAGAAAGAGTACTCTTAAAATCAGGCTTTTTATATACTATTTTTGAGAAAAAGTCATATTATGATAGTATATATTCAGAAATATGTTGTTGACGTTTGTTGTTAGTAGTCTATGAAAATGTGAAAGATTAATTTTAATATGTATGTGTAAAACAGTACTTGTGCTACAGAATGGAATTTTCAGCCATTAATCACAATTTTATTCCATCTAATTTCCTCAAATTATAAATAAAATTAATCATATAGAATATTTTCCACATCTACAATAGGCGGTGGGTAATGTCAAAAACATGCAGCATATAAAATGGAAATAATAATAATAATGATAACAGCTAAGGTAATAGTAATACTAATGAAAATCGCCGTGGGCTGGTTTCACACAGTATTGTCGATGCGGTATAGAAATCCTAACATGTTTAAAAATATTGAATATAATGTTCTCTTTACATGATGATATGGTGAGGGGAAAAACAAAGATTACAGCAGTTATAGAGAACAGTTGGTGTTTGCAATTATGAGAGTAAAACAAACAAAGAAGCAACAGAACCATAAATATAACAGAAATCATAAAAGTAAAACTTGAAGTTATATAAAGATGGATAGAGGAAATTGTTTATTTACTAGATGAAAAAAGGTTAGTTAATTGTTGGCTGACACTATTTTGATCGCACAAAATACGTTCCAAGTATGGTATTGTGGAATTTTTATGCCTAGACGTGCGAGCATACAGTTTTCTGAAGTTACTTCTTGTTCTACCTGGGGAGGAGATTCAAGGTGAAAGCTGAGCGTGAAGTGGATCCTCCAAGTCAGACAAAATCCCTCCAGCCAATTTAATTGCACGAAGTCAAGTGCCTATCGACAACGATGTTAACCATTTGGTCCACTGGAACACCACTCATCCTACTGACAGTGTTCAGAATTCTACGAATCGTGACATAGTCCTTTGTTAAGCAGCAAACCAGGAGAGAATAAGCAGGGGTGAACAATAAAGAAGAAGAATGAGTGGGATGCAAGAGTTTATGAACTGTAAGAGGAGGAGGGGTTGAGTTATACCCGAGTGTCTTTACTTCTTAATGTAAAATGTCAGGTGGAATATTTCACTAGGAGATCGCTAAGACATGGGAAGTCCAGGAGAGATCAGAAGAGAGAATAAGTCCAAGATACTTAATTTCTGATTTAATTCCTATGTCATTGTCGTCAATTTTACAAGTGTCATGAGAATCGATGACTTCTTTTAACTGTCTTTTACATCGTAAGCTGAAATTAACAGTCTGATATTTAGAAGGATTCATTTTAAGGCCGTTCGACTCAGACTATTTACTGACACTCCTGAGAGAAAGCTGTTTATTTCGGTACAATCTAGCTGGGAATTAACAGCCATTGAAACTGTTAAATCATCAGCGTACTTCACAGAGTGTATTTAATCATCAGAGTGAGGCAAGTCATACAAGAAGAATGAAAAAAGTAAAGGAGAAAGGACAACGCCTTGATGGACACCAGCTTCAGTAGGCAACGGAAGTGGAAGACTTCCCTTTATACACGGTGTACTGCTTTCTTTCTGAGAAATAGGAATGTAACTAGTTAACAGCCCAACATTCTGTTTGACTAGCAGCAAGTTCATTTAATAAGATGTTCCAAGGGATCGAGTCAAAAGCAGATGTATAGTCTAGGAAGGCACACCGAACAAATTGAGCCCCCTTGTCTAGACTAGAACATAGCGATTGAAACTTTCAGCGCACCCCACCACTCCCCCCTCAAAGGTATGGTGGAGTTATGTACATGACACATTCACTGTACTTAGAACTTAGGACATAAGCAGATTTTTCGAACACATCAACTGAAAAGTGGAGGCAGTTCAATTAATTTATGAATGAGAAATCAGGAATACTAGCTTCCAATGTTAGATTGTAGCGTAAAAAGGAGAGAAGATGGGATGTTGAACACTAGGGTTTACAGAAAACTCACACATTCAAACAGATATTTGGACTTCTTATCATCCCATCCTATGTCAGTAAAATTAGGATTTGTAAGATGCTTAAGTGACCATAGGGCACCAAAGCTAAGTAGTACCAAGGAAAATCTAAGATGGGAAGTGAGGCATATAAGAGAAGCTTTGAAGCTTAAAATTTGCTCTTATAAATTAATCAGGAAGTATGTAAGGAAATGTAAAAATTAAACTAATAATAATGGTAGTGATAGTGGTAATTATAATGATATTAATGACGAAATGTCTGCCGAGCATTCACAGTATAATGACGACACCAAAAGTAGGGAATATAAATCATCAGTAGTACTTCCATTCGAAGAAGGAACCTCGGAAACAATACGGCAGAGAAATCTTAGCAATGGTGGCAGGGATCAGAATGGCTGGCATTCAATCACCCAAAAAGTGAATTGGAAATAAGCTTTGTCAGTTAAACGATCAGTCCTACAGAACAGCCCATTAAAAAAAAACAATTTAGTTTATCTAATATCTTGCTGGAATGATTGTCAGGTTTCACCTGATAATACACAGGTCGAATTAGTAGAACTGCGTCAGATTAGCTGACCCAAATGAGATAAGAAATCTGGAGAATAGTTCATCTATAGCACTCACTGCATGCAATTACACACAATCATACAATATAGGATGGATGGAATAAGATGACAGTTTTAAAATCTAATGTAACAGGGTGGTGATTGAGAAAGATTGATAACGGAAGCTTTATTTATCAAATCAACTGCAAACACGTGTCCACCCGGACATCTGGAAAATCCTACTACCCCTACAAATACTTGTGATGAGGAAGGATCGACTAGTTTCAGCATACAACTTTTGTCAGATGTACAGCAGTTTGAGCTACCACACTCCCTTCATATAGAACACGAAGTAAAAGTAGAGAGATAGAGTCAAACGAGAAAAATGTGAGCAAGGCAAGGGGAATAGTGATACAGAATAATAATAATAATAATAATAATAATAATAATAATAATAGAGATTTACTAAGTTTTATTGGATATGATAAATCATACAAAGAGTGAATGCATCTGAGCTGTTGTGAAAACGAGGATTTCAATACATATCACCAGTTGTCTTCAGCCTTCACTGGTTCTTACCGCCTCGAGGATCCCAGCCAGAAAGTCTACACCTCTCGACGTGGCTTAAGCTTAAACTGTTATGGATTTCATACATTTGGTTCGCTTGATAAATTTCGATAGAGAAAGAAAGACCAGATTTGCTGTATAAAATGTGATATCAACATTCTATTTCACATATTCTCATCAGCTAACTGCAAACTACCCGAAATTACAATGGTTATAAATAATAACATTTCATACTTCATTTTTTGAATGGTAATAGAGAAAAGATTATAAGGTTAACGCATCTGGAATATAAGTATTACAATTATCTTTAGTTTAAGTTACCATCAATTTATATACTATCAAATTATGTAAGAGAAAAGGGGGGGGTGAGAGAAGACATAAAAATCTAATAAACATTGCCAACCAATAAATATGCAGGAGAAAGTGGAGATGGATTGGACACTCACTCGCTGAGGAGGCCGCTGCTCGGTGACATCGCGCGCGCGTCAGGCCATTGCTCGAGTGGGACCAGGCCGAAAGGGAAGCACGCGGCGAGTGGGACGTCAGTGCAAGGGTGACATGGAAGAGATCGTGTGAAGAGGAGTTGAAACAGTATGGACTAACTAACATGGATGCAAGTGAAAAGTACAGCAGAAGGGAGACAGAAGTGGCAAGTGAAGACGTGCAGTTGAAGCCCTATGTTCAACTAGAAACCCAAGGGAAAAATAATAATATAATGAGGCGTTCATCGGCAAAGAAACAGCAAATAGTAGAGATACGTTTGATTTCAGAGGAGATAAACGATACAGCCTTGTGAAAGTACATGGGAAACGTGAAAGGAACTCGAAGAAACACAAACATAAAGATCAGAAATTGCACTACATGGAAATCTGTGCAAATGGTGCGTTGAAGATATGGTGTACGTAATTTGGTTATGTAGAGGTACCAAGTCCCATATAAGGACTCCCTATCAATTATATCGTCTTCTACAATTCCACAGGAAAATTAAAGGAATTCGGCAAGAAAAAGAATGTTCTGCGAGATTAAATATGATAGTGTGGGAGAGTTTCAAATACAATCATGACGTTTCCTTTGATGCTTTTCAACTTTCAGGTTTTGCACACTGAAGAATTAATGTTCTGTCCGCTAGGTAAAAACAAGCCGATTCACAGAAATGTCAAACTGTTGTTACCATTAAAAGAAGGTCTTGAGAACTCCATACAATTTAAAATAGTTGTAACTTGTTTGAAGCGAGAAGGATAAACGCAGTCTAATTACAGAAAACTTAAGTAGCCGTTAACGTTGAGTGCGTGAACATCTACAAGGAACTCAGTTGACAGACATACGTAATTCTATTACCCAATACGAATATTAACCCGATTTAAACATGGCTTAATATGTGACACTAGACAGGGTAGTCCCTACAGACAAGCTGTTAAAAATTAATCTGATGCTTGCTAGTGACTGGCTGTAGGCTTAAAGTTTCTTGGGGTTCTAGTAGGACCAGTAGGGTCCAGCAAGTTGGACGTGAGGATAAATACTTACCACTACCAATGGCTGGTACCAGTCGCGCTAAAATTACGAAGTCAAACAAATTCGAATTCATAGGCCATTGGATCGGATCCCAGTGGCTGAGAAGTATATCAGCGCTTGTCTTGTAGGCGTAAGGCCAATAATCCGAACCCTGGTGGGTGCGTACTGATGAGGAGCCCCAGACTAGGACGAAAAACAGCTGTCCAGCACTCATGGGCTTTCAGTGATTCTCTAACTGATGTCAGCTGGTGATCAAATTTGCAATAAATCGAATCCAATCTACATTCAGCTTGATTATATAGGTGAAAGCAATGCAGCAGTGATCAACAGAAGGCTGGGTACATCACTAGCCATAGCCTATCGTGCAGCTGAGCTCGTCCCGTCTATCGAACACCTTGCTCTTCTCCGGTGCAATCAAAAATGGACAGATATCCTTCTCATGTTAACTCCAACTGTATAGACAAATTTACATGTATCTGCGGGAGCAGTTACATTGGAATGAGGAAAGAAGGGCATATCTACGATTTTCTGAATATGTACCAAAACGCTTACGTTTAAAGGGAACAAATGCTTTAAACATTGTCATCGCCAGGCATCTCCTTGACACGGGTCGGTCATGAGGTGGACGTCAAA